TAGGTCTGTGTTTGACCGGACGGATTAAGTTGATGAATGGCCTTCACTGATCGCCTCATTAAACGGAGTTGAACATCCTTGGTTGCTACTATTCCACCACATATTAATCCATTGCTAAGATCTCAGTGCTTGGATACTGGATAAATATCTTGATGAGGATCTAAGGTTCTCCTGTCCAGCACTAGCTGCTGGTTCTCCTCTTTGTGTCTTATGACGATCAGAGCTCAGTCAGAGTTTGTCTCTGCAGGTCACCTTCAGTTCCCTGGACGTCACGCTCCACACTCAGGCTCTTCTGTCTGCAGTTAACTTCCTGTCATCATCACTATCATCTGGCAGCGCGGCGCCTGCAGAGAAAGACATCCAGCTGAAGACGGAGGAGAAAACGCCGTCTGTGAAGCCCAGTCAGTATCTCTCCTGCAGACAGAATCAGCGCGACACGGTGATGTCAGAGCTAACCTCTGCCTGCCGTGTCTCTTTCAGGCGCTCTGGTCTCACCTGTAGACTCTGAGGTCATAGATTTGAAAGCGACGATGACTCTGGGAGCCTTCAACATCCTGGTGTGTGACCAGACCTGCAGCATGGCTGACATCAAAGTCAAAGGTGTGGAATCGGATCTCGGCTTCTGGTTGTGACTCGGCTTCATGTCAGGCAGGATCTCTGAGCTTTAATCTGCTCCTCAGGTTTGAACAGCTCCTTCCTGATGCAAGGAGCTCAGACTCACATCTCGGCCCGCCTGGAAGACGTCATCGTCCTGGACGTTGATCCCAAAGGCATCCATAAGGAGGCGAGTACATTTAATACAGTGTGTCGTCACATGTATGAGAGTTCATCCATCCAGTTAAACCATGATGTTATTAATTTGGGTGCTTTTCAGAAATATTCCTGTAAGGGTTGTTGCTGTTGCTCTTGTTGCTGTTGCTCTTGTTGCTGTTGCTCTTGTTGCTGTTCGTTCTTTTGTTTTCCTGTTCCCTTCTGCAGGAGCTCCTATAGGTTATCCATCTTTTTTTTTTTAGACATACTAACTGGTTTTATGGTTTTGTTGCCTTTTTTCTCTGTTTCTTTCCTTTCCACTAATTTGCTTTTTTTGCCTCTCTGTCAGGTTCGGCATTATCATTCAAAATGAATATAGTAGTTTTGGAAAATCAAGGGGGGGGGGGATTCTCACCAAAAAAAGCCACACTTGGCAAAGGATTTTTGTCTTCAGACCCCCTGAGTCAGAACCCTGTAGAATCGATTTTGTCAGGATTCGGTGTTGGATTGAGGACCCAAAAGCAGAGGCAGGTTGGCAGAGGTGAATTTAGGTGTG